AGAGAGAGAGAGAGAGAGAGAGAGAGAGAGAGAGAGAGAGAGAGAGAGAGAGAGAGAGTAGCATGAATGGCAGTACACTATTTCTCTGTTGATCATCCACCGTCCACTGTTTACACAGCAACCATTGTCATAATATATGAGAGCCCAGTGTCTACAATACCTCGTTTGGACATATATACCTCACATATCATGGCAGGAAGACAAGAGGCGTTGGCTGGGGCCTCTGGGTCAGACCTGGCAAATCCTCACCCATCTGGTCATAATGGACGGCTGGAAAACGCATGGTGGTCTCTTGGAATTTCTCAGGCCGAGCATGGCCCAGAAAGGGCAAGAAAAGTAAGTATAGCTATGACGTTTCCACCAGATTTGTCAGACCTGAGCCATCTGGGCATTTAGAGGACTTGAAAACTCACAGGAGGTCTTCTGGGGTTTCTCAAGGGCCCCCTTCAGGGAGGGTACTGCTGGGGGATGCTCTTACCACCCGCTGCAGCACCCCCCAGTGTGGTTTTCTTTTAAAAAAGTCAAAAAACGGGTTTCTCAGAGGCAGTATTTGTCAGAATAGACCAGCTGGGTGTCGAAGGGAAATGTGGCCAGGATATTTGGGCTGGACCTATCAGACCCAAATCATCTAAATATTCTGGATGGCTTGAAATCCCACAGGAGGCGGTGTGGTGTTTCTCAGTACTAGTGCTTGCCAGAACGGGCATCGCCATCGTTTCTGAGACAAGTGTAGGCAGGATATCCTTGACCTGCGTGTGCCGAGAGACGGTTAACGGGGGCCCAAATATTCACCGTTTTCGTTGGCAATTGCAGTGCGAATTTCATCAAAATTTTTAGAAACAAATGATATGAGACCAAGAATGAAAAAAAAAACAAAAAAACACCATGAAACCCTAACACAAAGACACTGTCCGAGTCAAAATGAAGCGTCCAACGAATTCAACAAAATGCCAACATTTTCATTATTGATCCAAACATGTCAAAACTGCACACATGACGTACCCTAAAGCACATATATATCACACAAAAAGAAAAACAAGAAAAAAAGCCAAAAGCCAGCATAATATGATAGTTTCAGTGCAATTCGGTGCAAAATTCCTCGAAAATATAACAACCCTGGTTAACCACGTGTGGACCTGCCACACTGGACCCCACCTGGACGTCTTAGAGAACTCAAAAGTCCAAGAAGCACCATCTGGGGTTTCTCATTGCCTGTGGATGCTAGGAGAGGCTCATCCAGGTCCAAAAGAAGTCTTGCACGTACATTTGGCCCATGCGTGTCTAACCTGACAGGCCCTGTCGTCCCAGACAACTCCAGGCCCTCTGGGGTTTCTTGGGCCTGCATGGGTCAAACTGGGCTCCATGCAGCTTGAACACCCTGACTCCACCGAATACAGTGAGAGTGGACGACATTGTCAGAGCAAAACAGCTCTGAGCAAGATGAATGCTCAGGCAGCGGTCCAAGGGGTTAAAGCCACCACAGAGGCAATCAGTAGTCCATGGCTGCCA